AATTACTTATTTATTTGGGTTTCAATTGAACGATGTCCTAGGATTTCTTTTTAAAGCAACACCTCATGATCGTATAATTGATTGCTCTCTTTTGTCAATTATTAATTTAGTCTTTATAAATGTCATAAAAAAGTTTAAACTGCCCGTCTTCCAGAGCCTAATGTGCAACTCACATTGCTTGCTTTGTGTGCCTACAAGTCTAAAACCTAAAAATACATAATAAGCCAGAGGAGGAGAGCCGGTGAAACACTACTGCCACCTAAAGGTTGTTTCAGATGTCTGTGTGGAGGGGGGAGGGGGAGATCTTCCAAAAGTTTTGACTTATTTGGCTTCAAAACAACTGACATCAGGCAATAAAGCCAACACTGCAGGCTTCAAAGCATCTCTTTATAAACTGATATCACACGCATACGATATATTCATGTTCCCCAAACGTGAATAAGGAGGATATTTGAAGGAGTGACCCTGACATGTGTCTGCTTCCCCTTTATGAACAAAAACTTTGAGAAGACACAAGGAAATGTCACCTCTGGACTCTGGTCAGGGGAAATCAATTTTGCATCTGTGCTACTTGAAGGACATTGCACCAACAGCCAAGCATATTATGCAAGTCATTACTTCCCTTGAAAACTGCTGACGATGCAATTCTCAGGAGACCTCAGTGCCTTTGAGAGAAAAAACCGAGTCAGTTCCAGGCAAAATGTCGACAAAGATTCAACCGTGCAGCTGCTTTTCTCCTCGTCACTGCGACTGAGCGGTTCTTATTAACAAAGACTGATGCTAATCAGCCTCGACGCCTTTATTATTGACAGAGGAGGCCAATTAGCTGCTTATTTTGTCCTCTCAAATCCAATTACATTCATGGATTTAAAAACTCTAAACTATTAAAAAATAGTCAGATTGATTGTTTGTGTATTTTGTCAACTTATCTACAGGTTAGTATAATATTGCACCTGGCAACTGATAAGATCCATGAAGAAAAATGCATTTGCTCAACAGTGAGAACCACAGACTGTATTTAAAGATGCACCACATGTCTCTACTTCCTCAAGCTATCCAGAAATATCCCAGATACTAATGCCACCTTGTGTATTTGTAGCCAGAGTCTGCGCAGTAGTGATCGGGTGATGGAGCCTGATACATGCATTTGACCAATCATGAGTCACTGTCAGCTGTCAATCAAATAACAAAAAAGAAAATAAAACTTTCCAGAAATATTTACACTTGGACAAACATCAGTGTGATAAGACCTACCTAAAATGACATGAAACCAGCTTTGAAAAAAATTGACTTTTTAGTTTGGTTCCCGTTCCATCCACTAACATGGAGGAGGCAGAATTTATAATCAATACTGTAGCCAGCCACCAGATGGCAATCAAGACAATTTGGCTTCACTTCTGTGGAGCTTGTCAGGTCATCCTTCTTTATATACAGAACATGGTGAGGACTAACAAGGCACCGATCAGTTATTTACTTTAGACAATCTCAAAATATTTGGTGATGGCCACTGATCAGACAGACATCACAGAAGCGAAGATGAACAAACTTGGCTCACAGTTGCTTTGAGTAGGTTCAAACAAGACAGGAGCCTTTTCACTATAATGAGTTGTAAGAAAATCACATTAATTATTGGGCTACAGATGCCTTTCAAAAAACAGAGTATTTTTATCTTATAATAAACAAAAATACGATTTTCCTCAACACCTTCTCTACATAAGTCCCTCATTTAATCATTCGGCTTAGATACACTGCCTCTTACGCAGGCCTCATGATATTTGCAAGGTCCATAAATATCCCATCTTCTGTTGCCCAAACATCGGAACGCAGCCAAAGAAAAGGCCAAAATATGAATGCAGCCTCTCATCTACTGATACCTTCTGTGCTGACTCACTTTGAAACGAAGCAGCCAAATCCTCTTCAGCACTAAAAAAATCTAAATAACAATACAATTTCCTCTTTAGAAAAACATTTCCTCAGACAGGAACAAATTGCGCTGCACCTTTTCTCTTTGCCCTCATCCCACAGTTCAAATTCAAAATAAAGCAGAAAGCTGATAGAATTAATGAATCAAAGTCAGAGGAGACACCTGCTGCTCAGAGACTCAGTGGTACTCGGGCTTTCAAAGGGTTTCTTATATCATGCTGCTACATCAAATACAATGTAAGGTTCTGCCGAGTCTATCTTCTAGTTTAGGGAATATAAAGCATAATACAAAAATCTCATCGTCAATACAGAGCATGTCAAAGAAGTGGGTGTAATGAAAGGTCTTGGTATTCCACCAGGGCACAAATGAGTATTTAAACCCTTCAATAAGCTTTTGTACTTCATCTAAGAAAGCATCCATCACATGTTTGTACGTCTAACACAGTATTTTGGCTGTCAAAGCCAAGAGCTGACCTGACAGACTAATGCTGCTCACATTACACACAATGAATACAGCATTCCGTGTAGGAAAGTGCTGCATGACTCTGCTTTGACAGATTTTTTTGAAAGGATGTTCTGAAGTAACCATTACAACAGGTTGTTTTTTTTGCCATCTAATAAGAGCTGCAGCAAAAATCCTACACATGTTATAACTGCACCAGTGAGATTGAATCTGTTTCAATCTCAATCCACAGATTGAGCAAAGATCTCATGTGTAAGACGTAAAAAGCAATGAACAGAACCATCAAAGTGCTCCCTATTTACTTTCATCACCGGGTCTGAAATAACTTTTCAGCAGCCAATGAACAGTGATCTGTCTCCTGTTGTGTGCTCGACTGGACGCCTGGGGAGGGACCTTCATATGTCTTTTCAACCAAGAGTGTGCTCGACAACCAGCTCATCAGGGAGCTGCAGGAAGGCAGGCTTTCAACTGTCCAAATATGCACCACTGTCTGTCTGCTGCTGCTGCTGCTGCACCCCTTAAAAACATCCTCTCTTTCTCTTTCTCACACACCGACTCATCTTCTGATGTTAATATATAATGAGAGAAAAAGTATCTATGAGGTCATTCTCAAGCCTTGATACATTCATGAACTGTCTCTGGAATAATATAAGAAGTGGCTGTCTACCCCAGTACTTGATTCTTACACAGACAGCCGCCGACATCAAGGACATCTAGCTCAGAGGTTTTCAAAGGGGGAGGCGGTCCTTCCCAAGGGAGGGGGCTCTGAACAGATTCAGCGAAGCCTCAGTGAAGTGAAACAAGATCACTTAGCATTGTCTAAATATGTCTGATTTGGTTAAAGTTCAGACACAGTAGTTCTGTCTCAAGACATTATCTATGATCCATGAGATCAAATAAAACAATTGTTATTACACAGGAATCCAGAAATCTAAGCTAGTAAACGTTGGCGAGTGAGTGGGCAGCTTTTTCCAAACTTTGTCTTTGGGGAGGCTCTCAAGCTCAGACTTTAAAAACCCCAGATGAAGTTGTTTACTTCAACATAGTGTTATTATACTTTCTCAATCTGTGAGTGTATGTATATGTGACTATATGTAATTCTGGTACTTGGACTTTGCATATAGTCCATTACCAAGTACTGATCCAATAAAAGTGCATTTAAAAGCTTTATGCTACTAACCCTGTATGGAAGAGATGATTTTCATCATTGTTGCATGGCCTATTGCTAGTGTTGTAATTGACTGCTCATGACAGCATGGAAATATTGCAATAATTGTTCTTTAACGCTCTGAAAACTTTGAAACTCTGAAAAAGCTTCTTACCAACTGGAGTACAGCACAAGAAGAAGTGTTCTCCAGGAAAAGAAAAAGTTGTGCACCTGGGTAAATCTTTAAAGATGTGGTATTGGAACAGCACATATTTGCATACCCGCATTTTGTGTCAGACGCATTTCCGATGCTGGTATCAATATCAGCACGTCTCTAGTTGCCACAACTCTACAAGGACACCAACTGCCTGTGTGTCCTCTGAGTGAACAAGAAAGACATCCATGAAGAACAACACAGCTGTCTGTGTATGTGTGTATGAAACTGAACAAAATTATAATACTTCTCAATTCAAAGAGAGCCATAGATTTGTAGCTGCATACACAACGCTGTATCCTGACGAGCATCTCCCTCAAAATGTAATTACATCGCTGCAGCAACGCAGAATGGTCCACTTGACAGCATGTCTCATCCACAGCAGTTGGATAAGTACACAAAACTCACATTCATTCTGCCTCAATAGTTTCAGTGTTCTCCAAGTATAAATGCTCAAAACAGCCAAGGTCACTTGAATAGGCTACAACGCATTTCTTACGCAGTTGGAGTACAAATGGGGCTTTATACAGCAGAGCGGCGTGTATTTATTCCGAGCATGCACACAAGAATCAAAACAAAACTGTGACATCCATGCAAGAGGGAGAAAAGCAGATTGCAGAGCACAGCCAGAGAACCAGTGGAGTGTAACACTCCTCCCTGCGAAACGACCGGTGAGACAAAGTGAGATGAAGGGATCCGTGGTGATGCCAGATCCCCTCTGCAGCGAGCACAGATCATGACGTCTTTTAGGAGCCTGCATGTAAAGGACGAAGTGAAGTGATGATGAAATGTGAGACACAATCTGTAAAATCTGCCCTGAATTTATGCTTCTGTTGCATAGAGACAGAGCGATTTCTAAAGTGGTTTTGACCCCGAAGCTGCCCGGAGAGATCCGAGTCGATATTTTCTTAAGATTGCTCTTGTGTGTCAGCATGTGATGGAGGAAACTGCCTGAAATCATCAGTCTCACCTTAGCCGCAGTACCATGTTCACAGCACCTTGAATGTCTGGTGTATCTGCATACGGTTCAACCTGCATGAAAGAACAGCTGATGATGAGTATAAATCTGACACATATAGATTGGAACATTGCACCAGAAGGACTTTCGCACAGTGTTTACTGCAGACAAAGACGTTATGAACACATTGTTAGAAAAATGTGAATGTAGCGAACTCCCACTCAATCCATGTGCTTTGTTTTTCCTGAAAAATGTGCTCAGTGCATTGCAGCAGCAGGAAAAGGTGTAAGGGTAAAGAAAAGGAACAATGCATTACGGTGTGTTGCGAAATGATCTCACCAACATTATGAATACCTCTTTACAAATGTTTTTTTTGCAGAGCCAAAAGAAGGATTTTAGCTGGATGCAATGACTGCTGAGTGTAGCTGTCAAAGCTCATTCATGACAGGAGCACTAGACTACACCTCAAACTGCTCGGCCTCATTTTCAAAATGACAATAGCCTCAGAAAATGGGTTAGAATGGCAGCCAGTCTATGGATGAGATAGGCACAGGCTATGAGCCGGCACTGTCAGAGGACAGCCATTTACTCTGAGTTATCACTGATGAGACCATCTTGCCATAAGACCCACACGCACATGTGCACGTACTCCTGTCTCCATGACTTCATGTTACATTGACTCACATTAATTTTCTGCAGACTTACTCTAACCTTAACCATAGCAACCACATGCACAGCCCTAACCTTTACGCTAACCTCAATCTAAACCTAACCACAGCCTAACGTTAAAACACGAATCGAATTTTATGATTTGTCTCTGCAGGTTTCATCAAGTTAAATTTAAGACCATAATGAATGAAATTTAAGACCTATGTCAGGTAAGATGGATATAAAGGAAGATCAGAGTCAAAACTGAAGATAAGGTGAAGCAGCCTGGTAGAGAATAACCCTCTAAACACTGTTATATCACAAAATAAAGTTTTCAGTTCCACGTTGTTTTTTTTTTGTAGTTAAGAAGTAAAGCATGCTAATATTTGAGAACAAGCTACAACACACAGAGAAATGACACACCATGCAATTGCAAAGCGTGACAGAAGTAACGTTAAATGAATGTTACATAATTAAAATCTACCTAAATGTATTATTTTAACATATTTATGACTTTTTAAGGGTTAATATTCAGATGATTAAAGGTTGTTAGACTTCTTAAGACACTGCAGGAACCCTGAAGACAAGTCCTCATATTGTGACTGCGTAAACAGCTGACAGGTGCACAGACACACACGTACACACTAAACAATCATTGTGGCTTCAAGGTCTTTGAGTCATAATTAGTGTTGTGGCCAAATCCCTCACCTGGGGATGGTGAATAGATAACCCTTCAATGGGAACATTGTTGGTATCCGCCTCTTTCTAGGAGGAATCAAATGAGAGGTGTAATTGCACAAATGCTTCAACATCCTTGTTTAAATAATTCATTTTAAAAATACAATGGTCACAACAATCAATGACTTTTCTGGCTTCATTTTTGAACAGGCACTTGGCTGTTGAGATTAAATGTGCAGGGAGATAAACACTCAGAATTGAGTTCATGATTCTTAACACATGCTTCAGGCCAAGTTTGCTCATTGATTGCAATTCCAAAATTTCCACTTCTGCCGAGTGATCGGATGGCACAGCGGTAGAAATAGTAAAGCCTGCATGTCTATGACAACGTGTCTCTTTACCAAAACACAAAAAAGACATTTATAATTTTATTTTATGTTAAATTAGTGGATGGGAGGAACTTACATCATCGGCCTCATCTCTGACCCTTCGTGACTAGAGGGAAACACATACATTTTAAACATTCACATTTTCATATTCATAGTACACCAATAAGTATTTCTACTTTCTTTCCTTTTTAAAAACAAAAAATAAATTAATAATGTTCACTCTTCAAGCACTTTTCAATTTTTCTAAACACATTTTTTCACTTTCATGAAAAAACTGTACAACTGCTGAAAAGTAGCCTCGGATAAATGAAAGGAAATAAAAGCAAGTCCTTGTAAAAATTGCAGCAGTGGGTGATTTGTTTTTTTTGTTTAACAAAAATAGCAGCACTCCTCTGCACCCACACAACAAACGAACACACACCTACGTACACCTCCAAACATATTGTGCAGAATGCCGTAACCATAACTGCAGTATTTCTGATTTCACAATCCCGTCTTCCCCACTTCTCTTCCTGAATAACTGAAGTGAATACACATTAAACTGATGTTCCAGCTCCACAGACAGCAGCATGGAGCTGGAGATGTCAGGGCTAACTTGGCTAACTTGCTCAAACCCTCAGATGAGGAATCAATGCTTCAGGCAGACTAGAATTACATATTCAATTAAACAACCCGTCTGCCATTGCACTCTCCTCTTGCTACTAAGAGATGGAGAGGGTGGAGGTTAACAAGCGAGAAGCATCCAGGTCATTTTGCAAATAAAATGACTACCCCCCCCCCATTAAATCACCCACTGACTGTCAGACTTTAATCTTATCTCTGAAATCATGTCTTTTGGTATTTATTGCATCACACATTGAAGCAGGGAATCTTTATCAAAGAGCACTTTGATCAAATCTTTCTACTTCCTCCTGCCTGCAGTCTTTGCCGCTATCTTCCAGCTCATTACAGCCACCTCAGGACAGCCTATCTCAGAGAGACAGCAAACCATCTGCCATCCAAAAAGTTCACTGATCAGGGAGGTAAGGAATGTACAGGGTCAAACACAGTGGAGGGGTGAGGGGGGGTGCATTACTGCTTATTTACTGTTTAGACATGACATGCATCAATAATGAGAAGCACCGTAATAACTCTGAAAGTCAAGGTTTCATCTTATTACAAGACAAGTGACAGGAAATACTGTTGAAAATGTGTTTAAACATTGTTACAGCTGCACTTATATATTTGAATATAAATGTAGAGACTGATTATAAAAGAATACACGCTGCCATGGGACGTGTCGGTGGGGTCTCACCTACCCTGCCCTGATTCACTGCAGCCTTTCCCTCCTCGCTGCCCTCGTCCAGCTCATCGTCGCTCCACTCCCAGTCTCCATCCTCCGTCTTGTGCAGGTGACCGCTGGAGCCCGGGACCCTCCTCACCTGGAGCATGGTGAGCACAGAGCCAGCACAACAAATATTAATGACCCCATTCATAGATTTTTTTTTTTATTACATGTGTATGCACATTGTGCTCTACCCATGAATCCAGTCATTACAACAGAACAGTGGGTTTTGGAGCACTGGACTCGACTGACTTGATGTGTCGGCTGCAATAAAAAGCAAATGTATGAAGCCACATTAAAGTTGGTTAGGCCACTGAATGTCTCTGAGTTGTTAAAATATGCTTTTCATGTTAAAAGAAAGATATTTTAATTTTTTAGTGCTTGAGAGATATTTCTGGTACCTATATTGGGCAATCATTCCTAAGATGTTGATTAACATATATATGAATATTTAATGTACCTGAAGACCTGCCAACATGTGAAAATACTGACTAATAAAACTCTGGGGTTGGAAATTTGAGCTTTCCTCTAATCTTAACTTTATCTGATACAAAAAAAACATTGGTATACAAAACTGCTCAGTGCTCCAAAAGAAACCTTGAGGCTGCTTAACAGTCAGTTTAGTAGACAGAGGCTGGGTGCAGCACAATGAGTACAACACAGTACAAGAGAAAACTTTGATTTAACACCAGGAGCAACAACAACTGCAACTACCAGCATAATAAAGCAGATCATTAAGGCAGTCAATGATAAAGCCGATAATTTGTTGCACTTCTACAGCCAGGAACAGCGAGCGCGACAAGCAGCACTAGTCTGGGAGTGTTAAGAAATGAGAGCACCACAGTGTTAGAGAAGAGGCAGCACATAACTGTAAGCCGCTACCTCCAGTGTCAAATAAACTCCTCAGCGCTACAAGGTCAAACTTAAAGCAGCACTATACCCTTCTGCTGGTGTCAGGATTATTATCCAAACCTGACACAGAACCGAGGCTCCCCCGTCTGTGTTCAGGGTCCTCGAGCAAAACAGACACAGATCAATGCACCGCGCGACTAACATCAAACACAAACATGCCCACTGCAAATGTACAGAAATAAGTGTGAATATGAAAACATCAAAACACAGGAATGTGAAATCAGTATTTTCAGGGAAGAATTTGTTGCACTTCAGGTAAAAAGGCTGCGGGCTTTCGACAACATCCGTGCAGTATAATATCATCATGTGTGCATTCGGTGGAACACAAACTCAATACAATTCCCCCCCACACACACACTTTTCATTATGTAACAAATACATGAGACCAGACCAGCACCTTGGCCATAAACCACTAATATCTAATCCTGATATCTAAACCTCTAATTCAGAAGCTCAACTGTGGGTGTCAGGGTGCCCTCTGCTGGTTACTCACATGTACCTGTTGTTTAAACTGAATGACTCTGCATATCATCTTTTTTTTACATTCATATTTATAATATAACAAAATCATTGACACATATTCGTCTGCGAGAAACTATTTTCTCTTTTCTGGACTTATTTTCAGGGAATTGTTCCAAATTTTCTCCCCACTTTTCATTACAGGAAGTATTTATTTTAAAATGACTTTATTGGTGACAGGATCTGCCATCTCCTATTCATTCACTGGAGGATTATCAAGGAGAATGGAAAGCTGGAAAGGTTTTCTTCTAGCTGTTTGGATTCAAGTTTCACCTCTTGAACCCACACTGTTTCCTGGGAGCAGAGTTGCATGTGTTTACTGTGACCACAGAACACCACGCAGAAAAATAGTACAGAAACAAGAACGCCAGGGGACAAGAGGTGCAAAAGGGCAGAGGGAAAAAAACATACTGCAGCTCACAGAGGCCAGGAGATGTGAGGTAGTTGTGTACAGAAAGAAGAGCTGAACTCGATTCGGAGACACCTGAATGAAATCTCAGGACAGTTTTCTTATGAAGAGGTCACAGCCTCCTGAGATGACAATGTTTCTGCAGCATTGCTTGTCGTAGCAAGCTCTGGGTAATGTTTGCTGAGTGCATAATGTAGACGACTCTGCGGGTCAAATCAGCAAAAAAGTACCAAGGACACTGACTCTGAGGCTCATGCATTTCATCCAGTGAAAGTATCAAGTGAGTCAGACTTTATCAGGCTGTATATACTGTGCATGTACGGCCTATTTTGTTACAATCTTTAAAGGACTCCACAGATAAAAACACATAAAATGATCTGTACATCTGTAAAAGTGTGTGTCATATGTTGTATCGACAGGTGTTTGCATCTCCTAATCCGATTTTAGTCACTCATGTGTTTACTTATGATATATTGTAAGATGTACTTGGGGTATCATTTCCCCTTTAAATTATTATTATTATTCCACCTATACATTTTCTTCAGTTTTGTCTGTTTCTAACACGAATTTGCAAAAACTACTAAATGGATTACATGCTACAGGAATGAACTCACTTAATTTGGATGCAGGGTCCGGTTCAGGGGGGCATGAATTTCTCTCCACCCCCCTCTAGAAATTTTCATTCATTTCTCAGAAACTATTTTATGAATCTTGATAAAGGGGACAAATATTTATGAGTGTGGTCAATTTGGTGCAGATCCAAATAAAAATCAGGACTAGTGAATTCAAATGTGTTTTCATAAGGGGACAGTTGCTGAGAGACATTTAAATGATCATTTGGAAAACATCTTGCTGTGCGAATCATAAATGCTGTCGCTCATTTTAGATCAATCTTCCGTAGTTTGTGTTGGTGATGACTGTAAATTCATTCCAATCCGGAAAAGTTGAAGCTGCCTTAGACAGTATTGACAAAACTTGATTCTACTGTTTAGAAATAGGCCCGTCTCTTTTCAGACTCATGGCAGCTAAAGGCACCTACAGTTACCACATTAACCATCAACAAAACCTCCACAGAACCACGACGCTCCCTCCACCGCTGCCTCCCTCTTTATTGACACCCTGCCCTCTTTGTGCGTAATGCTAACGTCACACACACTAACAGCCCTGCTCTCCAGCATGCCCTCCATTTACACCCAACCCTGTCAGTGAATTTCCACCCTTGCACCCGGCACCCGATGTGCCTCTCGGCGATAGCCCTGTGCTCCCATTTCGGTCGCGGCCATCCAGGCGGAGTAATAATGTGCAGCCAATATCAGCTGTGCCTGAAAACTGCACTTCCTCCTGACTAGCACGTGGGCAACTGCACAAGCAAAGCGAACAGTGACATGTTCCTTTCTGTTGCCTAGTGGTCAACAAGTCATTTAATCCTGTTGCCTTCACAGAGCCTCACAGGGTGTCACTGACACATCTACAGCACTTCATTCTGCAGTGGTTCACATTTGAAAAGATGAGATGCTGAAGAAAGTCCGAGTACACAGCTTGTGTTGACTGTAAATGCATCACTCTGGCGGAAAGAGATTTCAATAAATTCCCGCCCTCAAATTTTTTTTTAAGTTTAGTCAATAATTGAGTTATTTTACAGGTAACGTTTGTGTGAACAAACCTTCTTAGCTCGCTGAGAGATCTTTGGTGCACAACACAAAAGCTTTTCAACCAGGAATTCTTTGTTCTGCAAGAGAGATACACGAACAAAATATGAATAAAAATGTTCATTATTAAATAGAAAACTGATCTGATGAATTAACCAAAACCTGATGATGAGTCATGAGAATCTTAAGTATTGTGTTTTTAAATGGTGGTGATCAGAAATCAGCTTTTAAGGATAAAATACAAGAGTTGTGACGGATCTTTTTAAAATGTTAAAAGTTAGACCAGTGATTAAACCAGAGCTTCAAATACTTGATCTTTCTGAATCATTTTCATAAAATTAATGTTATACAAAATATGCAACCAAATTATACAAATAATTTCTGCATAGTCAATTTCAGGCAGCCAGAACCTCTGAACCAGAACATGTAAAACCCCCAAAATATGGGGAGTCAAATATTTGAGATAAAACAAATACCTTGGCCTTCTGGAAGAATTTGCACTTCAAAAGCTCTGCGGCTGTCGGCCTGCAGATAAAGGAGAGCACAACTGTTGGAAGGAACATCACAACGCAGCACTAACTGAATTCTAATCACAGGATTTTTATTGATCATAAACAGCATCAGCTTTCCCCACAGAAATATTTGGTTGATATAAGGTGTGTGGCGCTAACCTTTTGGCAGGATCCTTCTGAAGGCACATAGTTATTAACTTCCTAAACGATTTGCCGTATCTTTTTAGCGTTTCCTTGTCCTCGATACCCGTCTCTAGAGTGGGTGGGTCGTTCTGTAGGGTAAGCATTAAAACCTGGAACGACAGGCGGAATGGTCACACTACAGAAAATGTATGAGTGCAGATGAGGAAAAGAAACTCCAAGCAGGAAGCTGTAGAGATGCTGTTGACGGTTAAAGCAGCTGGTTACTTTCAATACATTTATTTATCTATTTGTTAATTGTCTGTTTCCAAAGTATGCTGTCTTTCATTCACATGATGAAACTTGAATAAAACATTTAGAATAAAAGTAAGAATCCAACTTAAAGTTAACATTTTGTAGGTTATTGGATATTGATTTCCTCTTAACTCCTGCTGGTGGATGCTACAAGTAAAGCTGTAATTGAGGAAGTAATCTGATCAAATAACCCAAGTAGATCGGCACTGCGACTGCACAACTCCGCCAAGGCCCAACAGTCGCCTTAAATTCAATCAAACTGGAACACATTGCACACACTTCTAAAAAATCAATCTCTTGAACATGTCAGATTTTTAAAATCAAGATCTATGAATTATTCCCTGATAAATATGTGAAAAAACATCTTGCAATGAAAAATAAAATAATCCTAGATCTTCCAATCTGGAGCTACAGCTAAATTTACTTTGTTCTTCCCTGACCTATGCTGCATAGTTCCACCAAGTTTCGTCCAGTAGTTTTTGTGTGATCTTGCTTACAAACAAACAAAAGAACGCACAGGGCTGAAAGCACAACCTCCGTGACGGAGGTAATAACACATCCACAACACTCACCTTCATGGGAGGGTAGCGGTGATAGGGCGCGGAGCCCGTCGCTAACTCTATGGCTGTAATTCCAAAACTCCATATATCTGCTTTGAAATCATAACCTCGTACCTGGACACAGAAATACAACATCACAGGAATATGTTTGCTGAACCTTCTGCTAACAAAATACTAAAGATATACAGTATATAGAAATATAATGTAACTAATAACAGAATTAAAAACATTTTTGTAAAACTGCTAGCTCCATACAGCAAAAAACTCTTACGAACAGGAAAATACATAAAATAAGATAAAAGAATGTACATGGTCACATAGAAGTATGGATAGAAATAGACTGACCTGTTCCATCACCTCCGGTGCCATCCAGCATGGTGTGCCGACAAAAGTCTTTCGTACTTTGTGTCTGGTCATATCCCCCCCTGTAGCTAGGAAGGCACTAACTCCAAAATCTTAAAGACAACAATAAGTGATACAAGGGTTAAATCTATTCTCTAAAATCTAAAATACAAGGGAGACTTCTCTGATAAAACTGCAGTGGGGAGGTATATACTATAGTACAACAGGAATAATATTGCATAGTAAATTCACTTAAATTTGAGTTATCATTTGCCATTGACTCTCTTGTTGTGAGCGTCTCCGCTTCTATGATTGCTACTAGTCATTGATTACCAAAAGTCAAAACTGTACATCCAAATAAGCACAAGAGCTAATATTTACAGAGTAAATGCAAAACCAAAAATATTTTATGTATTTTAGTCAAGCTGAGTGAGATATTTGTGATAAATACCAGTTAATTTGTATACCCTATAAAATCGAATGATTTTTTTCCTTTAGGATTAAATGATTCATTTAAACCTTTTAGCTCACCTGGTAAGATTTAGAATGTTAAAGCCAAAAAAGCACAGGTGGTACTACTGATAACGTTAAGTCTCAGTAAGCAATTACATGTAATCATATAGTTACAAGCAGCCAAGTAAGAAAAACTGTTCATCAGCTCCCAACTTTGAGAAAAATCTGGCAGGGACAATATTTTTTATTTGGTGGTGAAAAGAGTGACAGTTAGTGTCGATAAACCGGTGGTTAAATGTCAATAAAAACCACCATCAATGACTGCTACAGTCAAATAAATTCTAGTAAACATAATACAATCAATTCTGGTCATTGATTAAATTATAAAAAGGGGGATTTGTTGATTAATAAACTACACAAATAGGAAGAGTCATTAATTTTATTGTTGACATCTGTGACATGTCAAAATACAATGGAGCAAACCTGCATATATCTTTTTATATATCTCACAGCAGCATCCATAATTTGTTTGTTCCTGTTAATGTATTATTTATTTGAAGACAGTAATTAATCCCTACCATTAAACTAAATTTAAAAAAACTGCCAATTTGAATGTAGGGACTAAGCAGATATAGAATTATTTAGGACCTATAATCAGTCGCATGTCAGACCTACTTAGTGTATGATTACAAAAAACAGGCAATACAATTGTTTTTTAATTAATACAATATTAATTCAATAGATTCAATTCAGTCTGTGTTGAGGGTTTTAGTTTAAAAAGACTTAGGAGAGTGTAACAACCTGCAATCTGAACAGATCCATCTTCTCCCAGTAGTATGTTCCCAGCTTTCACATCCCTGAGGTCAACAAAACACAAACAGAGTAAAACCATCACAGTTATGTGGAGCAGCATTGATTTTCAGTCCCACGGCCGACCATCATCGGGACCTCTGCCCAAAGGGTCGTTTCCCAACAACCTTGATATACAGGAAGTTAACAGAACGGAGCTGCAGTCTAATTAGTACAATAACATGTAGCGAACAAAGCAAACATCTTGTGTTTTACCTGTGAATCTGTCCATTTCTGTGCAGGTAGTCCAGACCCTCTAACACTTCATTTAATATAGTAGCAATAATAGGCTCATCCAGAACTCGATTTTTGTCCTCTTCTTTGCTTGTGTGCTTAATTATATCCAGCATAGAGCCTAAGAAAAGACACAGCAGAAAAATGCACATCACAAATCAGCCACACAGTGAGACTGAGTCCTCACATGATCAATATCTATGACCAAGCACAATTTATTTCAATGTCTGATGTTTGCTTGTCTCCCTTAAACAGTGAATCATAAAAGGCAGGATTAACATTACTGCTGCACTTTCTTCACAAGTGACAGACATATGGAAGTGCAGAGGAAAATCATTAGACTACATATGTTATGAAACATAGCGTGCAACCAAGAGTGCCACTGCAATGAAGTCAGCCTGAAATACTGAACTGGAAAAGTACTTTATACGAGTTAGGATTAGTTGTTTTTAGGGTACGTGGTAGAAAACAGTGGCTGAAAGGCTCAAAATATTGAAAACGTTGATCATTTTTTCATTATATTATGTACGACCACGCTAAAATTTACGTTTGTGACAACTTCAAGAGGGTCATCCATCAACCAGAAGGTATGCGGTTCAATCCCCGGCAACTCCAGTCTGAACTCTGTGTATAGAAGTGCTGTGTGGACGTATATGTGAATGGGTGAATGTGACTCGTACTGTACAGAGCTTTGAGTTGATCATTTAAACTGGAAAAGCATGAAATACAGTATTTTTGACTGCAGTACAACTTAACCCCAGCTGAGTTTTTATCAGCAGGTCAAAGCACAAACTAGGTTAAAGGAGGCGTTTACAGTGCATCATCACTTTCACTGAACATTCATGTATTATTAAGCCAGAGGTAGGATTTGGTTCCGCGCAGCTCGGAGGGTGAAGCTTACCTCCACTCAGAAGCTTCATCACTAACCAAAGTTCATCCTTCACCACGAAGGAGGTGTAGTAGGTGACGACATTGGGGTGGTTGCATTGACTCATGGCTTGAATTTCTTTCTGTTGTGAGAGAGAAATGACAGTAATCTGATATGAACAGGGATGTCGTATGTCTATATATACCACGATATGAACAAAGGGAACAATAACAGAATGGATCAGAGGTAAAGTAGTAATAAGGCATGAGACAGAGGAACAAAAACACTGTGCACCCACGCTGAGAAAATAGCCCGTATTTATTGTACTCACCAACAGCTCGTCCATGCTGGTCTGGCATTTTTCCAGGTTGATTCTCTTTATGGCCACGCGCTCCTGTCTAGGGGTGCAGAGGGCCGCCTGCACCACAGCTGTGGCCCCGCTGCCTGGGATCACAACAGAGCAATGACAACGTCGACAGGAGCAAAGAGGGACACAAACGGCAAGCAGCTGGAAGACGACTCTCAAACTCAACGTCTGTCTGTGGCCTTTTTTTTCTCCACATTTTGGTGTTTACGTTACAGTATTCACCTTTCACGTTAGCTGGCTGGAACATGAGGCCAACGCTACGACATCAGCTGACTACGAGTACAGAACCCCCCCTACATGATGGGTTGTTCACTTGGTTCAATACAAAGCCACGCAAGACAAGTGCAGTTGTTGGAAGCTGAGACATACAACATGTAGCATACGTGTATATATATATACTCGCTGGCCAACTGTTGGTGGTAGATAAGACGAAGTAGAGAACACATGAGATCTGGCTGCTCACTAGTAGATTATGAGAACACAGAGGGGGTCTCAATGAGTCAACACAGTCAGCAGCACACAGCTGTGCAGCTATTTCTTATCGGTAATGATATGACTTGCTCATCTGCAGCAACAACACAGGCGTTTACCTAAGAATACTCAGGAAACTTCCTTTTGACACTTGCAGTACATTTGAGATTTTCATTATTGTTGTATTGGCAAATGAATATGTATATATTATCATGAATATTATTAATATTTTGTGACTTATGCAAGTAAATAAAACTTTGTAAATACTGGGGATGGTAGTGTTTTCAGATAAATACATTAATGTAAATTCCTACAGTAAGGTTCTTTCATAAATTACAGCAATCTGCATAGTAACAGTGCCAGGAAACACAGAGACTAATGGTTAATGATAATAGCACCATGTATAACACACTGACAGCGGATGTGTTTTTAGTTTTTCTTTACTCTAGCTTTACATAAATAATACAATAAAGCGAGAGAGCGTGTCCAGGTTCACTGCCATTTATTACAGAATGGCTCCTGTTGGAGTTAGTGCTGAAACAACATGTCAATATATTGATTGGTTCATTACAGAAAATGTATCACCAAGTAAGCTGTTAATGAGCCTCTGAGTTTGGGATATTGAAGTTTAAGACATCCCCTTGAGTTCTGAGAAATGAGTCACGTCTTATTCTTCATGTATTTATCATATATAAATAAGATTGTCTGTACTTGATGAGAATATTGACCAGATTTCTTATAAAGATGATAGATAATGAAAACTAAGTAATAGTCCTGG